TTTTTTTTTTTTTTTTGATAGCCGATGAAAGTACAATTGTTAATAATAAATCTAAATTACCTTTATGTATTCGTTTTTTTAAAAATAATAATCAACCAGTTGAACAATTTATTGGTAATATAGATTTATCTGATACTAAAGCTTTTAAAATTGACAATTGTAAATACAATAAGTGGTAAATTTACCAAACATAATTTATTTTACTAAAATATGACTGTTGTGGCTTTAGTAGAGCATCAAACATATGAGGAAATAAAAGTGGAGTTAGTAGACTTATTTATGAAAAAGCTGGAAGAAATTTTTTTTATTGTTGTGTCGCAACCGTTGAGGTCTTTTGCACTCTTCAACCAAGTTTCTTCATATACATTCCGATCCATTACACCTCTATTTGCTTTGATTCATCAGCATAAGCGGAACTTGGCTCTTATTAACGGGGGGGGGGGGGGGGGGATTAATCACATTTTATTGACTTATTTAAAAATCTTCTCATATTTAACTTATCTAATACATTCCATCAAAGTTTTTACTTACTTACTATATAAATAAGAACAGATAAATTTCACACTCCTTTAATTTTATATTTATACTAGCTGACCCGGCCACGCGTTGCTGTGGCTAAAGTTTTTGTTATATTACATTAAGAGGAATACTAAGAGAACACATAAATCCTCGATCAAGACCAATGCTTCATTGTACATCTCTGGTGTATAATCTATGTTTTGGCATTGATTTATTTGTCTAATTCGGTGCAAGATGTCTTCTGTCATACAATTTTTATATTTTTCCCACAAAGTTTGTGCTTGCGAGGGATAACATGTCGTCAAAATAATTGCAAACAACTGACGAATGTTATTCGGTGTTGATGTCAACGCAGCATCAGCAAGCGTTAAGTCCCAATGGTTATCGTCTTCTAGCAATTGCAGTTCACGACATGCATCCTGATATGTATTGAATACTCGACCATTAACTGTTCGTAAAAATTCAAAAGACGTTGGTCCGGGAACATTCACCAATAACAAACGTAAATAGAAGCACTCACGTTGCTTTGGATGTACCGTGTAAAGTCTCCCCAATGTCTTAGCTTTGAATATGCCTGTAATGGAAGGATGTGGTTTTCCTTGTTTCCGTGGCTCCCATTTTTTACTGGATTTGTTCCATGTGAAATAACGTGGATCATCACCATACACCAATGTCTTCGCGAATTGGCCAAAAACATCAGGTTTTTGACACAATGTAAAAAATTCAGTTAGAGTCGTTTTCGGAGCTTCGAACGCTCTTTGGAGAATATTTTCTTCAGTGAAGTATACACGTTGACCGTTTTCAAGATGTATTGCCAGATGTTGGACAGCAGGATCTCTTTCGTGGATGGGAAAGCTGAGAATATGCCAAATAGCTTCATTGCTGCTAATGTATCTGCCCATTTGGTATCGTGCTATTTCGTCATTTTTATTTATGTTTTGTACTTCAAATATGGCCAAATCACTGCCTTTGTTTACATATTTACAAATATACTTAATTGATTTAACAGAACTGCAAAGCTCACATTGATATGAGCTTTGTAAATTTTTGAAAGTAGTGGTGAGTATGGTACCACCCACTGATTATCAAACTCAACTTGATTTGGAAAGTTCGGCAGTCGCATTGTAAATGTGTGGCCACCATTCTCAGTACTTCTGCGGCGATACATTGGATAACCATCAATATCCGTGTTCGTGTCATTCGTATGCGGCTTTGGGAAGTTTTTTTTACATTTTCCATTTTCCATGCACGGTGACGTCATGTTGAAAGCACCGCATGGCCCATGGATCATGTGTTTGGTGACAATATCAAATAATTCTTGATCAATTAATGGGTCTGGAATTTCGGCTGAAATTATTTGATCGATTTCTTCAGGACGGATTCTATCTTTAAGCCAAACCAAATTGTGGGCATGAGGCAAACCTCGCTTTTGCCACTCTATCGTATACAGCCAACAACGTGTGATACCAAAAATTTCATATTTAACAATAAAATCAATTAAGGATTTCAATTTTTGTTTAAACACACGTGCAGTTAAATTATGACGATGAATGGCTTGTTGTCCTGGCAATAGTAAAGTTTGTATCTCTTCCCAATTCGTATTACATGTGAATGTAATAAATAAATCCGGTCGGCCGTAATGACGTACGTAAGTCATCGCATCTTGTATGTATTCCTGCATGTTCCGTGGACTGCCGATGTAGTTTGAGGTAAAATGAAAGCATTACCGATGTCATTGGGATTTAAATTTCCATCGATGTTTCCAACAACAGCATCTCGTAAGTGAATATATTCTTCCGATCGTAGTTTTGCCTGGTTAAATCGAAGGAATCGCAAGCGTTCGCTTTCAACCTTAGCATACATATCTTAGTTAATATCTGGTGCATATTCAAAGGCAAGCCGAACGAATGATGCACGTGTTAATGAGCGGCTGATCCGTTGCCTTTGTCGATCTCTTTCTCGTACTGTAGCTATGTTTCGTTCTCGTGCCGCTCTTGTTCTCGTAATATTCTGTTGCAGACGTTCGTCACGCTGTTCTTGAGATTCTCGTGCACGACTTTCTGCAGTCCTGATTCTTTGAGCTGCATTTCTTGTTTCGATTTGTTCTGGTAATTGCTGAGCTCTTTCAACACGTTTGCGTCGTGACCCTTTGCTGCTCGCGTTGTTGAGGTTAGATTTTTTCGGTATATATATATATATTTTTTTTTTTTCGATTTTTATCGATATTAATCGATTTCAAGCCCTGCTATTATCGATTTTTGTATTATTATTTATATTTTATTTTTATCTGCTAGAGGGTGCCATCGGTGTAACTCGGTTTTTGTCTCTAAATCTCTAACTCACAGGAGTTAGGTCCATACCCTATATCCTATCTTTTAAGTTGGACCAAATTACACGCGGTGTAAAAAATTTCATCAGAATCGGTTAAGTGGTTTAGGAGTCCATTGAGGACAAACATTGTGACACGAGATTTATATATATTAAGAAAGATTTAAATAATTTCCAAGTCAAGTGCCATTAATGGGTGGTTACTTATTTATATTTTCACTGTATTTTTCTTCTGTCACCACATAAACTTACTGTGCTAAATAATACAAATTGTGCATATTTTAATAAAAAAAAATAAAAAAAAAATAAAATAATATATCTATACTTATATTTTAAAGCTGTTAAGACGATAAGTATATCAATTAATATCAATCTAATAATATGTTATGTTATGTTTTAAAAGCAATCATAATATTTATTAATATTCATAGTTTTATAGAATTTAGTATTTACATTGGTTTATATTAATTTATGGTAATATTGATAATATTTATCTGACTTAACATGGACAATAATTTTCTTATATAATTGTACAAAAGTAATTTTAACATAAATATTTTGTGAACATTAAAAATTGTTTAAATAATATTTAACTTAGGAGTGAGATAAAATTATGTTTTCCTTCTCAATATTTTTTCTGGGGGAGGCAACTGCTTTTTCGTGCCTCCTCCCTCAAATGCCGCCTATATTAATCGGTATCTGAAATGTTTTTCTTCACTCTGTCCAACCATCGCTGTCGTCGTTTTCCCCTTGGCTGCTTTTTTTGTTGGATTTCGAATTAGTGCGTTTTGTATTACACTTTCACCAGTCCACCACACATGATCAGCCCACTCTAATCGTTTTGTTTTTAGGAATAATCCAGTATTTGGGTTTATTAGACATATACCTTAATTAACGAATAGACGTGTAATGGCTATTATTGTGTATTACAAAAATTGTTGAGTTAATTTTAATCGTGTAGGTACTGAAAAACCAATTGTTCAGTGTTTTACTTGTGATTATCTATTATGAATAACAATATTAATTTATTTTTCGTTTTTTTTTTTTTTGTGTTTTAATTTAAATATTAATCCACTAGGACTATACTCCCTCGAAAATAATGCGTAGTAATGTGTAACTTATATTTTATTTTTTATTATGTATAAATGAAAAGCACATTAAATTTAAAAAGGTCTAATATTTTTAAAATAGAAGATCGATTAAAATACATGGGCATTGGGCACTACCTACTTTTGGAATCTGCGTATGCCTATGCGTGTGACACAAAATAACTATGCAAAACTGATGAAAATAATAAAAATCAACAAAATCAGTAACTTAGGCTTATCGCTTAGGCTCGAACGGCAGCGCGTAAGAGAACGATTAAACACAATCGCTATAGTTTTGGATTACAGATATATGACGAAAAACGGAATCTTTGATGTAGAAAAATGCCATCACTATTGGAAAAGGGGCAAAAAATGTTGGATTTTACAGGGATACGCGTACGCGTGTGTTGTTGAAGTGGCCTTAAATACTATTTGCAGATGTGATGAATCGAATGGTATTTGCGTATTGCCCGCCACGTGCGTGGATTTATTTCAATAATTATTTTAATAATTTGTACGTGGATGGATATTGGATATTCATAAACGCCGACAGAAATCAAATATAATAAACCACGCCGGCTAGTGAAGACGGTCGACGGCGTTACGGTGGTTAGCAATACGCGCGCAGGCAACAACGCGGGTTCGGAAGTGATGACTGTGTCTGTTTAGTGTAATTCACCTTAGAATAAAAATGTCAGCATTGCCGATCCCACTGCAGTTTCCGGGTGTGGTACGAGATGCGATATCGGCGGTAACCGGAAGCGGACATTGCATACCGCGACGGAACGATATAATATAATCACAATGACATAGGAACCTGTGCGGCGGGTCTGCTGTCTGTTTCTTTTACGCTTTGTAATCTCAGCGGCTGAATTACTACACCGCCAGTGTGGTCCATCACTTTAGCACACCAAAATTTCACAAAATTGTGTTAGCATTATTTACGAAATGCATAAATATACATTTATTGCGGTGTAAAATCTGCCGGTTATGTAGATGCATATTTTATTCCTGCAATGAATAAAATACGTGAACCCAAAAACACGTAATCGAAAATTTTCCAAGTCCATTTGGTAAAGTCATATATTTCTATTATTTGTATAAATGGTGTTTCATATTTTTAACCAGCCATTTTATTCATATAAAATAAGCAAAAGGAGTATGAGGTAAGAATGATTTACTCATATTATTAGATTATCTGATCGAGTATTACCTATGGGAATATTATTGTCAATTATCATTGAAAATAGTTGTTTTTTGTCTATGCTTCGGTATCTAATAGTAATAAAATCGGTTCATCGTTAGTTTTTCTTAATATTTCGATTTTATGTTTTATTTGTTCGTTTATTTTATGAATTTCTTTTTTTAAATACCATATTCTATTATTTAACTACTGATATTAATTATAAACACCTCGCAATTCACTTTTCCTTGTCCACGTTACATATTGGTGGAGATACGTTATGTTTACAACTATATTTAAATACTAAGATTTTGTTACTGTTTTTATTGATTTATAATTATTACTAATTACGTTCAATTATAAGCAAAATAATTTTTTTTCTCTTAGATGATAATATTGATTATAAGCTGTAAGACAGATTAAGTTTAAAAAATAAAAGTTTAGTCATTTTTTTTCCTACTATAGAATTACTGTACACCAAATCACTTTTTTGTTCTTTCTTTTAATATCATAAAATTTGTTCATTAGTAATTTTAAAAATTTTCATTATGTTGATAAAAATTATATTTTGATGCTATTATAATTTTTATTTAATTTTTTTTCCTCGTTTCTTAAAATGCAATTGCCTTTACGAACCTTGGGGCCTGGGTTACTCACATTTTTTTTTTAAATGTATTAATTATATTTAAAACCTTGATCAATTATAGCAGTGATACCTTAAAATAATTAATTAATAATAAAAATGATATAGTTTTACTATCAGCTTAAACAGCTGTCTCTGTGGGTGTCCCCAGAGGGGGGGCAAGACGAGGCATTTTCCCCTCTAGAATTTTAAATTTGTTACCTAATTTTATTAATTTAATATAATAATAACGAAACATAATAATGTTCTATAAATAAAATGTATAAAAGGCGCCTATGCTAGTCTCTCACAGTCCTATTTCTTTTATTAACTGTGTAATCATGTATGCATTTCTTTTTTTTATTTATCAAATATATTAAATTTGTTGTTGGTCCGTGTTATACTCGAAATGTTTAGTTTAAATATTTTGTCTCTACCAAATTCGAACTAAAATTTTGTATACACGTTAAGTAATGATGACAACAATACGTTAAATCGCTCTTAAAACAACGTTGCCGGGTTCTCTAGTTATCAATAAATATTTATGAATTTAAATATTTTGAAAACTTCATTGAACATGGTAACATTTATTATGTACATAGAATTTTTAGCTTTTAAATATCAACGAATAATGCTTTTGAGTTATAGCAAAATAGTTAAATTACAAATAATAATTTAAAT